AAAAAATTTTTTTAATTCCTAAAATCATTCTTATAATATTTATATTATATTTATCATCAATTTCTATAATGTTCATTTCAATAAAAGTGATTTATATAAAATATAATTTATAATTTTTTTCTTGTGAAGATAATTTTGTTGGAAAATTATTAGCTTCTTCATTTTTCTTTTTAAAATTTAAAAAAAATAAAAAAAAATTATTATATATTCGTAAATTATATATATTCGTTTTTATTAAATTAAAATAATTTAATAAAAACGAATCCTATATATATTTTCAATTATAAATTTTTATTTGGGATTAGTTAATCAATATTTAATTAAATTTAAAATAAGCCAGAATTTTAAGTAATTGTAAAAATTGTAAAAATTGTTATCCATATTGTTTGTAATTGAGTAGAAAAATTCAAGTTTTACACGCAAAGACGGTGACAAAGATGGTTCGAATCAAAAGTTCAGTGACCCTTGACACTGACTCGAGTAATACATGACACTGATACTTATATATGTTAGAGAAGAATATAAACAGTGAAAGATAGAAAATGACAGAGAAAGGAAAGAGTAGTTTGCCTTGACCCTGAAAACCCTTTGGTTCTGTCGCCTCACACTTCATTTACAAAAGATAGATATATTCCGTCTCTTTTTTTACTTTGATTCGTTTTCTCTAACTTCTTTGCTCTTTTTCTCTCTTTCTCTCTCTTCCTTTCCCTCTCTCTTTTTCCTAATGTATATACATATATGTATATTTTGGTGTCTTTCACACAGAAAAAGCTGACCATGCGATCGATGTTCAACGAGGCAACCAGCTGCTCGAAATAGATGAGAAGGAGCCTTCTAAATATTAAAGGAACTTATTTCGACTTAATGTGCTTTTACTAAGAAAAAAGCTATATTTTTTAAAAAGTTACATTTCTATTCTTAACTTTTTTCTCATATTGCATTATCTTTTTGTTCACTCTTTTTTTATATTCTTTTTATTTTTTTTATTTTTATTTACTTCATGAGTGTAAACTCAAGAGATTAGAGATTTTTTTTATTAAAAAATTTTTGTTTATTTTAAAGAAAATTTTTTTTTGAATAGTATAGACTTCTTAATATGAATGGAAAAAATGTTTATGTATATAATACTATTCGTCTTATTTACGTACAAATATGATACAAATTGTTATGGTTTTCTTAATATTTAAAATACTCTATCATTTGAAATATTGAATTTTTATTTAAAATAATAAATATTTTTATTAGCATTTATTTTTGATAGATTACATATAACATAATTATTTTTTTAAAAGCATATAATGATGAAATATTAATGTAATATTATTTTTTATCGAATTTATGATTTGAATATCGAGAAAGTTACGAAATAATGATGACGAATGAATTCTTGTAATTTATCCTAGAATCGTAGTTTATCAAACGACATACCGAATCATATGATTTCTTAACCACTGATTAAATTGAATGGTATAACATGTATACATACATATATAATTGAATAATATCGTATAAAGATTTCATCACTTAATTTTTCATATATAATATAATAATAGTAAACGTTAAATGCATTTCCTGATGCACTATATTTTTTATTTTTTTTATTTCTAGAATTTATCGATACATTTATTAATCACATTAATTAATAAAAATTATATCTGTGATGTCAAAATTAATACAAAAAATTCTTACTACAAAATTAGTAGGTTTTATACTAAATCAACGACTTTATAATTATTGAAATCTTATAATTAAAATGAGAAATCGTTTAGTTTAAAATTTTAAGGTATTAGATAAAGAATTGTTTTTAAGAATGAAATAAAATAATATAAATTTTACCTATAAAAACGAAATATATAAATACTGCCAATGATATGATTCCCAAATTCTCGTAGCAAAAAGAAATTCATATAATAATATATATATTATTTGAAAGATATTAATATTGATATATAAATATTCTATTTGTTATGGAATAAAATAGAAAAATTGATATTATGAATATCAAAATTTATGTTACATGAAAATGTTCTTTTAATGTGTCTTCACCTAGCGGCAAAAAGTTGTATTAAAAGTTATACCATATTAAAAATTTTTATAACATTATTTCTATACATAGGTTGTATTATTGAAAATTTAAAATGAAAATTAAAAAAAGATCTAATGCAATAAGAGTGCCACCACTTAAAAAAGCAATAAAAATTAAACGAAAATCATCAGAAGAAGAAGAATCAACTGTATCCAAAGCAATTGAAAATATTAAAAAAGTACTTAAGGTTAGACAGTGTTTAAGTATATGTTATATATTTAAATAATATTGTTAATATATAATAAAATTAAAATATATTTTAATATTATAGAAAAAAAATGTTGAAATAATAAACACACCTTCAACTCCGAAAGTAGAAAAATCATATAAAATTAATAAAACCAAAATTAGACAAACAAAATTTCAAAAAAAACATTCAAGAGGTATAGTATATTTAGGACATATACCTCATGGTTTTTATGAAGAACAAATGATAGATTATTTTAAACAATTTGGAAATGTAACTAGAGTACGTGTTGTTCGATCAAAAAATGTAAGTATCATATATATTAATTTATATATAATATAAATAAAAATAATA